TGTTCATATTTGTTTCTAACCAAAGAAACGAGATATGAATGAAAATTTTCTTTTAAAAGAAAAAAAGAAATATGAATGAATTGTTCATTAAATCCCATACAATATCGAAAGTTCAATAAATCCCATAAAACTTTTAAAATTTTGAAAATGTGTGTATTAAACTAATAATTTTATTTAGTTGAAGTATTTTTTTTGTTTGGAAATCGTAAAAATTCGTATATTTTTCTAGACATAAATAATTTATTTAGAATAGTTTAAAGGGTTTTTTCCCAATTATATACGCTAAATCGCTATACAAAAAAAACAGAACTACTCTAATATCGTGTCTGTTTTTTTTTTTTGTCAACAAGTTGGATATGTAAGAAGAAATGATGAATATTTTATTGGAAAATGAATTTTGTTTTGTTTTATATTAATTGGTGTGGAGTAATAGTACAATGATGATATTTAAAGATCATGAGAGTGCGGCTGACATTGAGATTTGAGATTTGTCGGATATTTTCTTTCGAGTTGGTCTCCAGAAGCTTCTAATGAATGTGGTCTTCCTCTAAAACTCACCGTCAGTTTTGTCGTCATGTGCTTTTTGCTTTAAAACGCGTCCAATCTCCGGGGCCCACTTTCTATTTATGTATAGTTTAACCACACTAATCAAGTAAGGTTCTGTTTATCCTTTTTGATCCCTTATTTTATGTAAAACTTCGAAATTAACCTCTTTATTTACATTGTTCTAATCTAATACCGTCGGCTATTAAGATCGTACTTTAAATACGTTGTACATGATGCTTAGTTGTTGATTTAGAGAAGAAGACTGTTAATTTCATAAAAAACATGTATGTCTATAGAAAACTCGATTCTATCTTACTACCTTTTAACTCTATTTGAGTAGCTGAAATTTTATTGTAGAGCGAGTAATAATGAACATGCTCTGATTTTATTGCAATCGAATCATAAAAATGTCAAAAAAGAAAAATCCGACAAGATCTGAGTTAAGTTCCATCCATCAATCTTGTCTTCTTTAAATTATTTACAAGTTCTCTCTTTTACCTTTTCACCTTTTTTTCTCCCAATACGACTTGATAAATTAGCGGCAGTTAATTTTTTTCTTTTTTTTTGCAGTTATATTCTCTCCT